GAATAGAGAATAATGATGTGCTAAAATATAAAGAATAGAGAATAATAAGCAAAAAGTATAAAGAATAGAGAAAAACGGACTAAAAAATTAAAGAATATGTGATGAAGGCCCACATCCAGACACTGATTCATGTAACAACTGAACATAAAAATAAGGTATGATTGCTAATGAGACAACTATCTGCCAGAGTTCAAATGAAGCAATTATAGGTCACCGTACGGCCTTCAGCAATGATAAAGACCCATACCGTATCGTCGGCTATAAAAGACATGAAAAATGTGAAACAATTAAAAAAAACTAACGGCCTAATTTAAAACAAAAACGACAGACATGAACCAATGAAAACCACTGACCTACAGACTCCTAACTTTGGACATAATTTGGAAATAATGTGGCGGAGTTAAACATGTCTGTGATCGCTCATCCCCCACCCCAAAACCTGGACAATGTAGTTACAGCACAACATAATAACACACTGTAAAAATCAGTCGCAATTAGCTTAAATTAAAACATCGATTTGAGGTACACAAAACAAATAACATAGAAACAATGGACACAAAGCACCGATATAACAGTGCTAACAGTTACTAAAAGCTAGGTCAAAATATAAAAAATAAGAAGATGTGGTATGATTGCTAATGAGACAACTCTCCACCAGAGACAAAAATGACAAAAAAAAAGCAAAGTCAATTACAAATAATAAATTAACCATGTTCTCCAAGACTAAAGTATCAATTAATACACATCGATCAGATTGAAAACTTCTAAGAATAAGTTTATTCAAAAGAGCAGTTAGTTTACATGGATCGTATCTAAATTTCTGGGCTCTATAAACAACATCACCGTAAAATCAGGATGCTATATCCCGTTTTGATCATCATGTAGTTAGTTTCAAATTTATGTAGTAAAATTGTAAAATGATTGTTTGTAGATAGGTATACATTTTATATGGTATAAATAGTATAAACTGTAAATTAACGATAAATGTGTGGCAACAATAGTATACCGATGTTAAAATCTCATACATTATGTAAATTCATAAAGAAGATACAAATAAACATGATCAAATTAGAAAAACAAAATGTGAGGGAATCTAATGAACACCAGGTGGACGAGACTGGGTGCGTCGACAGGATAGGTGTCTCCTGCTATATGCGCACAAACCAGACACAACACATAGTTTTTGAATCTCGAAAAAACAACAATCTTTGCATTACCATTAAAATCTTGTATATACTTATATTTGTCCTATCTAGTCGAATGACGCATTGATATAAAACTGTTATTTAACAAGTGAATATATGACATATCGGTATACATACGGTACGAATTAATGACAAATACAGGAAGAATACATATTGATTGGAATGAAGTGGCAGGGCTTTTATGGTAGAAATGATTAAATAATGTAAGGTAAAAAAAAGCTTTACAATGTTGAAATTGTTTGTTTTAGTGATGATATTGTAACATTCCAATTATAATATTTTAATAACAGATTGCAAAATTCATTCCATTTTCCACCTTGAAAGTACATGCTTGCCGTAAAATATGCCGGAAAATATCAAAGGGCTATTGAAACTAATAAGTTGACACAAACTGACAATGCTACCGAAAAATACGAAAAAGGACAAAAGAAAAACAACCGTATACTAAACTAAAGACTGAGCAACACGAACCCCACCATAAACTGGGGAAGCTCTTAGGTGGTCCGGAAGGGTAAGCAAATCCTGATCTACATGTGGCACCCGTAGTAATGCTCGTGTAAGTACAAAATACAGGCAACAGTAGTATACCGCTGTTCGAAACTCATAAATCGATAGAGATAAAAACAAATCCGGGTTACAAACTTAAACTGAGGGAAACGCATCAAATATAAGAGGAGAACAACGACACAACAAAAACACAACATTAAAATGTAACACACAGAGAAACGAACTATAATATAACAATGGTCATTTTCCTACAAAATCGATGTAACACCAATTCGATGATGTCACATTCGAGCAAAGGGGGGCGTGAACACGTTTTTAAATATTACTCATCTGCAGTATCATCTTGAACCGTATGTCAGATTTTTATTGAGTTTTTTTTATGAGAAGCAATTATTTGGATGCGTGTTAAATAAGTTTAATAGGTATCCTTGATGATTGAATATATAGCTATAGACTAAACCAATTACAAATATATCATCTAAGTTTTTGTCCAAAAATATATTGAGTTATTTTTAAAATATAATTTATTTATATACATTTGTTGATTTTTGAAAAGGAAAATGATTTCATTTTTTTTGGGAGTACTTCATTCAAGGATTGCCCTATTTTAATCGAGATAAAGTTTTACTAATATAATCTACATTTGAATAGTACATGGATAATTGATTATTCAATTTATTGTCCACACTTATTGACGCAAGGACAAGGTATAAAGTACTTCATTTGGTGCAGAAACATAAACGCGTTCAATAGGACTTATGAGTTTGAATGTCCCTTTTGTATCCTTCGCCTCTCTTCTGGAAACTTATAAAAACAGGTTGAAGTTAACATCTACTTATTCTATCTTATATAGAATTAAGTTACTGTTTCAACCGGTACACACATGATCTCGTGAACCTAATGTTTAATCTATCTTGTTACATAGTATAAAATAACAATTCTTATCAATTATACAGAAGAAATCTTAATAAAACAAGAATAAATGGTATAAGAGATTAGAGCTGTTCTGATCCTTCAATAATCAATAATTTAATTTTGGATGTAACGCGTCTTCTGATTGGCTGACGTTGTTTTGTTTATCAGCCCATAGACATAATTTTGTCATGTGACCTTAACGTCATCAACGTTTTTTCATGATTTACTCCGGTTTAAAATGGAATTAAGAATTAAATTATAAGAAATGACTGGAATATTTTTTCTGTCTATTCGAAATAACATAAAAAATGTGGTGCACACTTTAAAATAACCCACTACGCGGGTTATTCAGTTATAAGTCATTCCTTAAATAACTGTAAAGGCATTTTCTAATAAATTGATATGTAACTTTCAAAATCCTCTACAATTTGTCTTGTTACGATTATAGCCTTGTCAACCTACGATATTTCCCGTTGTCTGAATCACCCTGTTCATTCGCTCCGTAATTCTCGTATCACGGGTTTGAGACATGAGCAAAATTTATCGTTGACGTCACAATGTCTGAGCAGTAGTTAACTGCTACGTCACAGTGAGCGATGAGACGTCATCAAGCTTATGTTTGTCCAGCATATAAATGTCAAAGGAGGTTGTAAAAGACTAGACATAGCACAATAAACAAACTATTGTGATTTCTGCGTATAAATATGGACACAATGCGCAGCTCTTTAGGTAGTTTGCTATGCTCAATCGCCAAAAAGATTCACATTGTGGCTCTTGGATGCAAAGTACGGTATCAAGGTGTAGAAAACCCGATTTTCGATACCAACTACTCTGATTAGATTCCATTGATATATACTCAAGATTAGAAATTAAGAAAACAACATTTATCATTTCCTTCTTTTTATTTCAAAGAGTTACATTACCTGTAATTTGGCTTTATAAAATAATTTAGACAAACGAGACAATAAAATTGCAAATTGTCCTCAACTTGTAAGCAATAAACCACCTTCTCCTGAATAATAAGCCTGTTTCTCAGCTGATACGATATGCAAGAGCTTTTACCTGCTATGATGATTTTGTGAAACGCTATCATCACGATTTCCCCATAGAAAGCAATGCAACCAATAAGTTATTAAAACACGTCTTGCATATTCCATAAAAAGGTTAAATGTAAGGTATCAGGAGTCGATAGAAGAGTTACACTTTCGCAAACTATACATGATTGGATTGAATGGAATTTTTGGAACTTGCGTTGTACAGTCTTTACAATTGGCAATACCAAACATAAATCGATATGTGGCTCTTTGTTCTGCCAATCTCTTTTCTGTCAATTAAACAGAACTATAGATATCTATGACACTTCTAGTGTGAGGTATGGCATGCCGCAGAAACGGTTTTGCAAGTTTTCGTTAAAACGTGTAAATGGTTCAGACTATCGCATTTGCCGCGAAATCGACTTTTTTCTTTAAGAAATCTAAGAAAGTTCCTACGGCAGTCTATATAAAAGTTCCTTTACTTGCAGTCGTAAGTAAACGTAATAACATATGTAAAATTGCTTAGAGATACCTACGAAAAAGTAAGTTGAGGAGCAATCCTTTTTTAAAAATAAATTATTTTTTTCTGTTTTTATTAATATCAAAGTTCAAATAAAGTTATTGCATATTTGTAGCATATTTCATACCAACGTATTCAAGAAAACAGTGCAGCCGAGCACACAGTTAACTAATATCAACCATAAATGTCTGACGAAGACATCGAACGAAAAAGTTGGTGTAGATGGCATATCATTGATAATTTCAGCTATATATCCACAAAACTCTAACGAGCTTGACATATCGCGTTTACACGATTTTAGTATTGAAGACTGTATATTTGCCTCTAGGTGTATTCTGGTTATTTGTGACATTTATTTTCCTACTTCATGGACGTTTAAACTATACATTTTTAAATTTAAATAATTTATATCTTTGAATCCTTTATTTTTCATCCTTTTATCTCTGTAATTGTCAATAATTCTAGCCATGAAATGTTTGTTTTTGATATCTTATTTAACTTTTAAATTTCGAATTAACAACCATATATATTCGATATTTCTAAATAATATGAAGGCAATAAAATATATAAATGTATAGTTGTAGGTTATTTATTCAAAATACAAAAATATGTTAAAAAGTATCGTAATAACAAAGTGTGAATTTCAGCAGCTCTTGCAACGCCGCGACATTTCTGCAATGAGTACCACTTTCGTGACTATAAAAAGCAATTCTACCTGTGAGTCATTTGTAAGATCAAATATATACATAATATGTAACACACGATAAACGTGTGTGGCCAACGTCTAGAAAATTTAATGTACAGTTTTAATCATTTAAAGGACAACCCTCGATAAACGGCGTGTGTATATTTGTAGTGTAACTCATTTTAAGGACAATAAAATGGCTGAATGTTCTCAAAGTGGTCATGAAATGGATATTGTTAAGTGCGGAATCTGTCTTTCGGACTTTACTAAACCTATTCTTCTAAGTTGCTTTCACACATTTTGTAGTCCGTGTGTTACGAAATTGATTGAAGGTAAGAATACATTATGTTGTCCATTATGTCGAGCGATACAAGTACTTCCAGACAAGGGGGTTGACGGTTTAATCCTTTATCCGTACTTTAAAAAGGCAGATACGCCTGATACGAACGTTATGGTACTATGTCAGATGTGTGAAAATGACAGAATCGGTGTTTCTAGTTGTATCGATTGCATCAGTAACATGTGTTTTGAGTGTTCTGCATATCATCTAAAGCACAAATTATTTAAGACTCACAAAACAGAAAAGATACAAATAAAATATACTGAAAATAAATCACCAGAGGAGACAAATCTTAATGGTGCAATTTGTGAAACTCACAATAAGGATTTTACTCTTTACTGCGAGCCTTGTAATAGAGCAGTATGCCAGGACTGTGTTACACAGAATCACAAACTTCACAAAAGTGAGCCAATAATGTTTCAAGCCCAGAGAAGGAGAGACCTTTTGCGATCAGCTATTGGCGCGATAAAATCGAAGATTTCTGGACTAGACCAAGAGAGAGAAATATCGAAATTCGCAGAACAAAATCATTATAAATTGTGTAAACAATGGAAAGATGAAATAAGAACACATGGAAACAGATCTAAAGAAACTTTGTGCAAAATAGTTGATCTTTTAGCAGATGTAAATTTAAAACAAATTGATGAAATGCAGAAGGAAGATATAAAATCGATTAGTAATTTTCAAGATGAACTTGAAACAAAGAAACTGTCTTTACTTTGCTTGCTTAGAAACACTGAAGAAATTGTAAAGCGCAGTTGCGATGGAACTCTGCTCAATGATTACACATTTATTTACCAGACATTAAGCAATGCTATTACGAAGGACAATCAGTTAAAAGTATTTGCACCACAGTTTTGTTTCGGGAATCAACTCGAACACAAATATATTGAAAACTGTTTTGGCTTAGTTAGGAGAGGAGAGCAAGCTAACATGATAGGTGCATCAGAGTCACACATTTATTCACTACCCACTATTTGCGACGTAACTGAATTTAAGAAAGTACATTCTTTGAGTGTCGGCAACATCATTCGGAGTGTATTCGGTGTATGTGAAGATAAGACATGGATACTGGTTTCATCTATTCAGCTTTACACCGCTAAAGGTTCAATCATCGGGTATCAAGTTCCAGGTGATAATGCAGAGCAAATATTACGAGCGACACAGAATGAAATTTGGGTAAAGTCTGGTGAAGTTATCAGGAAAATAACCAAAGGAACTACAACCAAAACTGAAGAGATAGTCCGCATGTCCGAGTTCCAAACGGCCACTTGTTCTGTGCTAGATGACAACCGTATTGTGGCGTATTCTGTTGAAGGTAAATGTTTTTATGAGGTGAATATTAATGAAGACTGGCCAGTCAACATAAATGAAACAACATTAAAAAATATCCCTGTCGAGGAAAAATATTCCGGGCTGATAACCACAAAGCCTTTGAGGATAACTGAAACCGTATCGAAGCACATCATAATACCATGTGGGAACAAGGTTTTCACATTTGACAGAAACCTTAGGGTATGCAATGTTCATGAAAACAGAGATTCAAGTTTCAGGGGCATATGTGGAGATCCATATGGTAATATATTTATAGTTGATTACAATAGGAACAAAATTTGTCTGTTTAATTCATATGGAGAATTGTTACATGATGTTTCGGTACAAGAAATACCTAGCAGCCCAACGGACATCACGAGAGATTCTATTGGAAATATTTGGTTGGCTAATGGAAGCTATGTATATATATACTCTTATCTTTAATGTTAAGCTTAATAACAATTGTTTGATGAATTTGTAGACAGTGGCGTTCAAACAGATCAAGACAATGTTTTTTCGCAGAGGTTTTATATTGATAACCGTGAAAACGAAAAAAAAAAAGGTGCGTTGCCTTTACTTTTCAGTTATCAATTTTTAAAAAACAGTATAAGAAAACTTTATGCACTGTATATTTATCTGTAAAAAAAAACTCGCATACTAAATAACCGTCGCGATAACGCGTGTGAGGACCTTTTGTTGTTGCTCGTCCAAAATTTTGTGACTTGAAAAATTGTCCCTTATCGGAAGTATCTAAGTCGCCATTTTATATAATAAAATTCCAACGAACATTCAAAGAGGATTGAACTGAAAGGATTAGTCTATATTGAAGAAAATTAATACAACGAAAATCATTTTTATACAAGGAATTAGATAATGTTTTTCGGGAAAAATAAAAACAACGTCAAATTCAGATAAAACTCACCCATAAAAAGATTTTACAAACTCTAAATAAGTGAACCAAAGTCTGATTGAAACTTGATCACAAGAAAATAACCTTATGTTCATAGATAAATACGTCTGTAGTCAAGCAAATATCTGTGTGGCATTTGACGCAGGAAAAAGAAAAAGTGTTTCTTTTAGATACAATGTACAATAAATGTACACGAAAACAACTTGTGAAGTGCAGTTTCATTCTCAGCATCTGCAAGTGTAACTTTAACTTTTTTAAACTGGATTGAAGCAAGGCTTTCATTGTATATGAATGTATTAGATCAGTATATAATTTTATCTGTACATACTGATAACTTTAAGGTCATGATTTAAAACTAACTTGATAAGAAATTATATTTGATTAAGAAAAACAAAATTAAATGGAATAATTTTGTATAATTTAGCTTCAGCTCAAATAACTTGCATCCTCATTTTTAGAAAATGTCTGTACCATGTCAGGAATTCTTGTTCCATTGATTTATACCGATTGATTTTTTCAGTTTTTTATGGATTTCTGTTTTTCTTTAATTTGTAGTGGAGATTGGTATTTTTGTTTTACTTTTTTCTGATTAAGCAGTAATCAATAAAAACTGCAAGATATGTTTTCCATTTAAAAATGTTTATTTGCAATGTATACGCATATCAACATACATTAAAAGGAGAACAGGAATCGCTACAAATACTGGACAAACCACATAATCCATTCATATCCGACTTCTACGAGAAAAGACGTCAAAAACAAAGACAGTTTCACACGATACAGATAGTCTGATTTTGTGCAAACACACAATTTGGTAAAGTTACACTAGTTTTGGTGCCAAAAAACTCGCACGTTCACCTATTTAGACCAATGTAGTAAAAGTGAAATATACAATATAAAACTTTTTTGTAATTATCTTATTGTGCATTACTGCGATCCAAGTAGCATTCCGCTTATTGTCCATATTTGTATAAATTTAAATTTCTATGTTAGTAGCAGTCACTAAGATAATTATGTTTAAAATGTTTAGCAGATGTAAATAAAATATATAATATCAACCAATCAATTATTTATAGTTGAAGTTTTTGTTAAAAGAATATTAAGAATGATGAGATGTTTAGTTAGCTATAAAACAATGTTTATTCCACCATTTTCTACATAGAGAAATTCTTGTACTAAGTCAGGAATATGAGAATTGTTTCCATTCGTTTGATGTGTTTGAGGTGTAATACCACCAAATCATAGTACGTCACATCCGGTTGCATACGAAAATAGGTCGAAAAAAAATATTCCCTTGAATTTGACAGTTGTAGGTAATTGATCCTACATTTCATTGCAGTAAAACATTTCTGAGTCATAAACATATATCTTGGGTATTTCAAAGCACCATTATTTCTTTATTTGGGGTTTCTATAGAATATTTTGGAAACTTGAGGTTACATGGTTACTAAAGCTTGTACACAGGTTAAAAAAGGGGAAAAATTTGATTGGTTAACTTCAAGTGATGGTTATTTTCTTATATGCAATGAAATGTTAGGTGAAATTTTTTCTATAGTACTGGACAGGATAAATCTTTACTCACGCCAAGTATTTCTTTATTTGAAACAAAGATAAATTCTGCACAATTTTTTGAAAAGTGCAAATTTAACAAAGACTAATAGGGGAAAATCAATGGTGGTATTACACCTAATATGGGAAGCTGTACATGCACCTTTGACCTTGTGTGTACTCTCATGTGTTAAAATTTCTTGCTATTTAAGTGAAATATTACAAATAATGAAATATTCTGAGTGGATTGAGTCTCCAAAATACATTTTATGAGAAAATTTCCTTGAAATAGGACTTTACCATGAATATTAGTTGACAGAACAAGCCATATTTAGAGTTTTGGGGAGCTTTTTCTCCTTATTTCTTATATTCTGCTATACTAGAAAATTTTTCCTAAGAAATACTTTAATAAATACATAGTTTTAAGTAAATGAAATTATTTTTAAAGCAGTAACAACAAATTATTCACCAAAAGAGAAGTTTTTTGTGTCCCTCTCTGGAACGCGGCGTAAATTTAAGTTTTACGTAAGGACTTATTGAAACCTCCTTGGAGACAGTAAACTTTTATATGGATAGTTCATTCAGCTTGAATACTTCAATTAATCATTTATAATAACATTTCAATCATAAATGAGTGAAAGTTACCCCAAATTTTTTATTTATTGGCCTAAAAAGTAGAAATTTTGAGGAAATGAGAGGTATAAATGGACCAAAAGAGACCTTATAAGGAAGACAAAGAGGTCCATTAGTAGTATTTATCATCCTAAAGTCATCTGTTGTATCATATTCAACTGTTTGTAGGCAGATGAGATAAATATTTGATCATTTATTGGTCCACACTATATTCTATTATGATGCGGCTTGGTTTGGATTTTTCGAAGAAATTTTGCTCGAATCGCTAAAGATGTCGTCTTACATTATACTAGATTTTTCTCAAACTATTGAACTGATTATGACAAAACTTGACAGGAATGCTTGAAATAACCAGTATTACAAAGGAAAAAAGTCACATTCAGTTTATTTAACAAAAAAGTCTTCTTTAGGTGTAATACCACCAAATCATAGTACGTCACATCCGGTTGCATACGAAAATAGGTCGAAAAAAAATATTCCCTTGAATTTGACAGTTGTAGGTAATTGATCCTACATTTCATTGCAGTAAACCATTTCTGAGTCATAAACATATATCTTGGGTATTTCAAAGCACCATTATTTCTTTATTTGGGGTTTCTATAGAATATTTTGGAAACTTGAGGTTACATGGTTACTAAAGCTTGTACACAGGTTAAAAAAGGGGAAAAATTTGATTGGTTAACTTCAAGTGATGGTTATTTTCTTATATGCAATGAAATGTTATGTGAAATTTTTTCTATAGTACTGGACAGGATAAATCTTTACTCACGCCAAGTATTTCTTTATTTGAAACAAAGATAAATTCTGCACATTTTTTTGAAAAGTGCAAATTTAACAAAGACTAATAGGGGAAAATCAATGGTGGTATTACACCTTGAGCTTTTAATTTTGTCCTTTGATAAGGGACTTTCCGTTTGAAATTCTCCTTGGAGTTCGGTATTTTTGTTATTTTACTTTTTGCAGTATACTAGAATTCAATTGCACTATTTATTCACGTACTATTAAATTTGTTTATCTCTTTTAAAAATGTAGAACTTTAAAATCCTTATTTCGTACCAGACTACAAATCGAACAGGTGTGCTTATTGAAAAAAATCATCAGAAACGACGAGACATTTTTGAATTTTGAGGTTCAAGCACTAAATGATTTCAGTGTCATAAAAAAACTCCGAAAATGGCTTGGTTGCTATTGGCATGTCAATTTATTTTTTGTTCCAATAAAATATGCTGATGTATTTTAGACATGTTCAATAAATTACCTTTGAAATGATTAAAATTCAGTCCTATTTATTCATTGTATTTTACTGTGGATTCATTTATTTTCGTGGGTATCAATTTTCGTGGATAGAGCAAAAAAGGCATTTCGTGGGATACGTAAATTCGTGGTTCGCTGTTTCAAAAAAAAAAAAAAATGTTTCAGATACGTAAATTCGTGGATCTCTGTATGAAGAATAGTTAAACAAAAGATAGTAGTTCATTGAAAATGTTTTGAATCGTCAAAATCCTCGCTTGGTCATTCTATGTTAAAGTGTTCATTTACAAGCGTGGACAAAGGCAACTAATGATTTGTTTGCTTTACAATTTATAATTTGTCGTTAGAATTTTATAAGGTATACAAAGGCCCTTTGATGTACAACTGATTGAAAGTTATTTTTCCTAATCAAGACATAATAAGAAGTAATTAGAAAATGATCAAAAGTAAGAAACAAGCTAACGAAGTTTGCTATCCAAGCTGGAACCCAAGCCATACAACAATGATAAAATTTACTCATCTCACGATTTTGTTATATATACTTTGGGGAATATGATTCCCTCATAACAAATAATGTCGCTTCAACAGTGGTTAAAGTCCGGTAGTATTAAGGTGAAAGCTCCTGCCACGCCAGGCTTGCCCGATCCATCTCAATGCAGTACACAACGTGATGTTCTTGTAACCCAAGCAGCCAACGACGGTATTGACACGATGAATTCTGCTACTAGCCTTCCAACTACTCCAACCAGAAAACGCAAACGGGGAGACTACAACTTTTATGATGACGAGACACGTGCTAAAATTGCCAGATATTCAGTCGAGAATGGCGTTGCTAGAGCTGCACGCAAGTTTTCCAGTGACCTAGGCAAGAAAGTTAGCGAGACGTCTGTTCGTAGCATGAGAGACACCTACCTTAAATTTAAAAAACAAGGTAACTATCGTGATTTTTTATCTGTTTTCAAAGAAAAATATTTTCTTTTTTATATTCAATTTTTAGATTCAATGCTAAATATAATTATTCTCATTGAAAATTTCTTTAACGTTTTACTTTGAAATTTTTTTTATCTTAATAGTACTAGTGCTTAGTTTTTTTACATAAAAAAGCTAATTTTATTCTTATTTTTAGATTCATATCGGAAATAATTATTGCACTTTAAATTTTTATGATCGAATTTTTAATTAAAATTTTAATTGTATAAAGTATGAAATTACTGATGTGTCTAAAAGAATTATAATTAAATTGTGTAACAGTAAATCGCGTTAGGTTCAGGTGCCAGTAAAGTTTTATTCTGATAAAATGTTGTTTCTGTCCAGAATAAAGAAACACAATGCTTAAACGGCATTTTATCAGAATATTATTTGAAAGCAATTTGTAACCTCCGTGCTCTTCCTTTGACCAATTCGTTGAGTAAAATTTTATTTCGTAAAAAATGTCGTTTTTGTCCAGAATAAACTAAAGTACACACTTAAACGACAATTTCACGGAATATTATTTGAAATGCAATTTGTGTCCTCCCAGCTCCTTTTTAATCCAAATTGTACAGTAAAATTTTATTTTGATAAAATGTTGTTTCTGTCCAGAATAAAGAAACACAATGCTTAAACGGCATTTTATCAGAATATCATTTGAAAGAAATTTGTAACCTCCGTGCTCTTCCTTTGACCAATATGTTGAGTAAAATTTTATTTCGTAAAAAATGTCGTTTTTGTCCAGAATAAACTAAAGTACACGCTTAAACGACAATTTCACGGAATATTATTTGAAATGCAATTTGTGTACTCCCAACTCCTTCTTAATCCAATTTGTACAGTAACATTTTATTTTCATAAAATGTTGTTTCTGTCCAGAATAAAGAAACACAATGCTTAAACGGCATTTTATCAGAATATTATTTGAAATGCAAGTTGTGTAGTTTTTGTTTAGAATAAACAAAAGTACTTCTGCAATTTATTGAAATTTAAATCTGAAAAAAATTTATATTCTACCTGTGTTACCTTATTTAACGATTGTCTACATATTTGCAAAGTCAAAGGTGTGAATTTTCTTGTTCCTGTCACAAAAATTTAACCTAAGGGCAATGTCCCGTCCTTAATCCTTTTAATCGGCAATAAAACCAGATTTTGACACGGTAATTAACAACTCATTTACCGTTATTTTCTTATGAATAATTTATATCAATTTAAAAACGTAAATTATGAATGATATTTTAAAGTTTTTATTGTTTATTTAAGGAGGTGGAGACATAGAGGTTTTACCAAGATCGCCACGTGGAAATCCTCTCTTACTTGGTCACCTAGATAACGACGTTCAACAATGGATTCTCAACGTGCGTAAGAACGGTGGAGTCATCAACTCACGCATCGTTATGGCAGCAGCTGAGGCCGTTGTGACAAAGTTCGCCAGACACAAGCTGCAAAAGTATGGCGGGCATATCAACATCACAAAGACCTACGCTATTTCCGTTCTCCGCCGCATGGGCTTCGTTAAGCGTAAGGGAACCAAGGGTGTAAAACATCTACCAGCTGATTTCGACGACATTAAACAGGAGTATGTAAAAAAAGTCAGCACAGTCATTAAGCAACACAGCATTCCAGACTCTCTTGTGATTAACTGGGACCA